GCACATTAGCAAGCAGCTATATGGCAAGTGTGGCAGCCAGGACCTGAACTGGTTCTCATATGGGATGCTGGTACTGCAGGCAACGGCTTATCGCGCTATGCCACAGGGCCCGCTGCTGAGCTTTCTTATGAGCAAAAGCTAGCTGTCCAGTGAAAGCGATGGGAGGATTTGCACCTCTGATTTGCAGGATGGTAGCTACTGCTCTCCTGCAGTTACTGAGCACTTGAAATGAGGCTCTTGTGACGGAGGATCTGAATTTGTAGACTTTATTTCATTTTCATCCAATTTCGATAGCCGCATGGGTACAGAATCGGACACTGCAGGTCTCACAGGTTAAGTTGCCTCAGCCAGTGAGGCAGGCACTGCCACCAGGGAGAAGCGAGGCTGCGTCAGAGGAGTTCATCTTTGGAACCCGGAGGAATTGTTCTGATCGGAGCCACCTGGGACAGCCGTGAGTGGCTGGCGCTATTTCCATCTCTCTTGCTGCGCTATTGTTGCTGCTCTTATATTCCCATCTGACTCGCTCGCCCCTGTCCCTGGCTTTTCAGAGGTTCTGAGAACTCTATTAAACCCAGGAAAACGAATCTTTTCCAAAGTGCCTTTGCACTGACTCAGTTGAATAGCTGGCTCAGAATGCTACAAAGTTCTCTCCCTCAGAGAGAATCCTTTCCTTTTCATTGTCACTGTGGCAGGTTTACCAGCTCTACCTAACACCGCTTGGGATGCCTGCCAGATTCCCAGCTCACAGGCAGCCTATCGGAGCCACTTCAGGGCACACTGAGGGCTTGCCAAACTCCCCCCGTGTGCCAGCATCAGCGGGGCAGGCTTTAAAGCGCAAATCGTGAGACCATGCCTAAAGTTTCCTCTGGGTGAGGCCCAAGCGTTTGCCTTTCCAACAGGTTCTGTGGTGCTCCTGGAGCTCACGGCCTGGGGAACACCTCCAGCACCACAGCCGTTGCTGATCAGCTCGGATAGGCACTCTGGAATGTGAAATTCGGAACAGAGGGGCACAGAGACCGAGGGCTATGCGAGTTCGGAGAAGGAGCCCTGATTCCGTTCCTGGAGCTGTCTGCTCTCTGTTCTTGCTTGAGCTCTGCTTGTTTGCATCTGAGCAAATCCCACTGCAGGCTTTCTTTGTTTTGTATAAAGTGATGGCACGAAATCTCTGCTGCCTGGCCCTAAAATATCGAGCTAAGACACGAGTGTATCGTTTCCAGTGTTTCACCAAGAAAATAAGAGCCGTTCTAAGTATTTAAAATACAGATAATGAAGCACAGTGACAATGCGAGAAGCCAAATGTGCCACCCAGAGATTAGTACCAGCAGGGGGCTACCTCCGCCTCCTGGCTGGAGGGACGTGGGAGAAGGTGTGTTAACAGGGGGTCAGGGACACCTGGAACAGGCTGGGACAGACACATCCGGAGCTCCCACAGGGGAGGCGTTGCAGCCCGAATCACCTACCAGTGCACCTTTGTACAGATGGGCAAACTCCCTGGCTTCTGCCTTCCTCCTGCCTCCCATTGCCCAGCGGTGCCTCTCCATGCTGGGAAAGTTGGCAGAGGCTCATGGGGATACAGAAGACACGTGGACCCTGCAGAGGGACAAGTTACAGATGTGAGAATGAACTGAGACCCGGCCCCATTTAGCTCTGGATTTCTCATCTTTAAAGTACATTCCGGTTCTCATGAGTTCGAGTACGATACAGACATTAAGATTTTTTTAATGTAAGATTTTATTAATTCATCCCGGGATCACACCTCGCATTCCTGATATATCCTTCAATGAAAGATGGCAAAGGACTAGCATTTGTACAGTTTCTTCGGTGTGTGACAGCTTTTACATGCCTCATCTTATGCAATCTTGAAAAGGTTGTTAAACAGTAACATTTCTAACCACATTTAATAAACAAGAAAACGGAGGCTGGGGCGGGGGAAGTAAGCAGGACAGATAAGCACGGTAATGTGACTGAAAATGATAAAATGGCAAAAGTCCAAACCCGCCCCGCTCAGCACACAATCTTAATTGTTGCAAGACATCAAACTATTGTGTGGAAACACATGCAAAAAGCTACAAACTTGACATTCTTTCTCTCTGTTGATATCTCATTTCCTGCTTTATCTGAAACTCAGTATCTAGGGTAAAACCTTGCCACCAAAACAGGGCGAGGCTTCTCTGAAAGATCAGCAAAATACTGACGGGGAACCTTTACCCCTCCCCCTGCTTTCATACCTGATGGATTAAATCAATTTCCAAAGGCCATACAAAGTTATTATTCTTAGTATTACTACTGTTGGAAAGACAGATATACAGAGAGGAGGAGAGACAGAGAGGAGGATCTTCCGTCCGATGGTTCACTGCCCAAGCGGCCGCAAGGGCTGGAGCTGAGACCGGAAGCCAAGGAGCCAGGAGCCTCTTCCGCGTCTCCCATGCAGGCGCAGGGTTCCAAGGCTTTGGGCAGTCCTTGACTGCTTTCCCAGGCCACAAGCAGGGAGCTGGCTGGGAAATGGGACTGCTGGGATTAGAACCAGTGCCCATATGGGATCCTGGGCATGCACAGCAAGAACTTTCACTGCTAGGCTACCATGCTGGGCCCCAAAGTTTTATAATTAATAGACCATGATTACTGGGCAGGAAGAGTGTTTCATAAGGTTATTCCAGTATAGCAACATTTTAAAAGAAAAGAAAAAAAAGAAAGAGAAGAAATCCTTTTCATTGGAGAATATAAGCTAGACAGAGTGGGTGTTTCCAATGGTTAACAAGACTACTCCGTTACCTGGCAAGAAGACACAAGGGGTGTATGGGAAAGTGATGTTTGTGTGAAAGCTTGTGTGCGTGTGTATGCGTGTGTGTCTGTATGTGTACGTGTGTGTGTGTGCGTGTGTGTGCGTGTCTCAGTAGAAGTGGTTAAGGTCCCTCTGTTCCCACTTCTACATACAGCATCCCTGATGTTAACTAAAGTGTCATGTTTGTTTCTCTCGGTTAGCAATGAACTAGGGTGCAGCAACAGGTTCAACTGTTTCGAAACCCAGTCTGTATCAGCCATGTTTTTCTGTGGCTGACGGGAAGCACAGCTCACACATGCGCACACACACACGGCTATGCTGCTGCAGGGTGTGCGGTATTCTTCACACAGGGAGCAGAGCTTTGGCACAGGGAACATCCCTCCAGGACCGTGACAGCGCAGGGGCTTTCTTCTTTGGGCAAGTGTCATCCACTCCAGTGCTAAAGAGCCAACCAAGTGTTGGCTGTGAGGTTACTTCTGTAAGACTAGTCCTCTGAGTGTGTCTCACCGACATATTTTATCGATAAACTGCCAATCTTCTGTAGGAGGGCCAAATTCAAATTATTAACTCAATGTATTCCACGCTCACCAATTACACTTCCGTCTGCAAGTTTAATTGTAAAGCTTAGAGTGCCTCCGGAATCAGCTCAGGTCATGTATATATATTTTAAAACAACGCAGACAACACATTAAGCCCACCCATGGGCAATTATCGCAGAGAGCATCTTTGATTTCTGTTGTTTGGGTTCCACTTGAGGTAGTCTTTGAGATGAACAGAATAGCTCAGGACAGCGTTTGAAGCTATGTTCTGTCCTTGGTGAAAATAGATCTGGTCAATATACTTTTTAATATAGCAAAATTCGGCACAAAAACATCGGAAGCAACGCATCTCTCTTTCCCTTCTCCAAGATCCACAACCAGCTCCACGAGTGTGTTTCACTTGAACTAAAGTGAGCGTCGTAGGACCAAAGCAGAAGGGCAGTAGTAAGAGTTCCTCCAACAACGGGGTGGAAAATTGTCGGCAGCCTTAACCGTGACCCTTCCTGCGGATCTTCTGGGGATTTTACTGGTGGAAACGGGGGAAGGCGCGGATCCTCTCTCTGCGATCCACACACATCACAGGGCATTACAATTTACTCTAAAATGTTAACTCCAATAACTAAAGGCATTGATTTTTTTTTTAAACCTAAAAAGACAGCCGCAGCTGTACACTTCCCCCTAGTATTTAGTATTCATTCATTGGCTAATGAAAAATGCCTTGGTAACAATAAAATGTTATTAAAGGGCCAGGGCATTCTGATTACGCTTTCCTTGAAATAAGCATGACGGTGTGCTGAGACCAGAGCGACCCAGAACAGTCCTTGAATGCTGCCTCATGTCTGGTCTTTGGAAAACATTTTAAGACATGGGAAATAATGGGAGAGTGTTGTGGATTTCAAACGGTGTGGGCACACCTGTGGGTTCACAGAATCCCACAGGGGTGTGAGCTGCCGGGGGGAGGCTGCGGGATGAACAAAAGCAGGGCTGCCTGATAGTCTTATCGCAGCAGCAGCAGGCGTCCCGGCAAAAGGCGGCGGCGACTATCTCGTTTACTCGGCCACATTTTTATGAGGCTGCCCACTGGGCTCTCCCTCGCCCTGTGCTTGGCCACTCGGGTTTCTGTTCAAAGGCGAGAAGGAAAGAGACAAGGTGCAAAAGGCGAGCTGTACCAAGTTGGGTACTGGGAGACTCCCTCCTTTGGGGGCGATGCTGCCCCATCCTTGGGGACGTGGGGGCGAATTCCTGGACCGTACTTGGATACCGGTGAGTCCCGGTTACAGCGTGGGGAAGGCGTGAAGAGGATCAGGAGCCCCTTTCCAGGTGGGGGCCAGGACAGCCTGCTGGGTCGGAGCTGCCTGGCCCGTGCGCCGCCAGGAGCCCTCGGGGCCAGCGCCGGGCAGCCAGGAGGACAAGTCAAAGGGCACGAGCACAGGACGCCCCTCTTCCTCCCGGATCTGCAGCTCAGCTCCAGCACGACCACCGCAGGCGCTGCAAAAGCAGGAGGGCGGGGAGGGGACGGGCACCGGAGGGGGTGTGCCCAAGGGCGGGCCAGGGGGGGACCCAGGGGTGCGGCGGGAAGTGTATTTCCGCCAAGTCTCAGCTTAAAGGCTTGCGACGGTCTCCCTGGCCGGAGAGGGACTACATATCCCATGAGGTCCGTGGTCGGCTGAGAGCGCATGAGCACTGTGCGCTACTTTGTATCCTATCGTAGGAAGCGAGAGTGATGTCACCTGCGGGTCGGTAACCTAGGGCGGCTGTGAAGGAAACTGTTTAACCCGATCCTATTGTACCCGGAGCGGAGAGCTGCCGTTCCAGCATGCAGGGGCTGCTCAGGTAAGGGGCACGCAGCGCCTCGCGCGCCGCACTCATTCATTGCGGGCCGCCGCGCGGTGGCGTGGGGGGTGGGCGTGCTTCCGAGGGTCGAGCGCTGTTGCTTCGCGGCGCGCCCTCCCGCTGCCTCCCGGGCGCTCCCGGGCCGGTAGGTAAATATTAAACCCGTCCTTCAGGTTGGGTTTGGGTGGGAACGGGACTGGAGCAGCTCCCCGACTGCCAAGTTGGGGATGGGAAAAATGGCTGCAGCGCGGGCGCAAAGCGAGGCGAGCCGGCAGGAAGGTGGTCTGGAGGACGAGGGGTGCCTCCCTCTCCCTAAGCGGGAACCAGCCACGGAGTCCCGGCCGTCCCGGGGCTGCAGGCCTCCCGGGGCTGCGGGCTGCGCGCCGGGGCGTTGGCGCGGCAGCTCCGACCGGGACAATCCCCAGGCAGGCTTGGTGGACGCGGAGCTGGAGACGCGGAGGGTGGGGCTCCCGGACACGACTGCGTCCGAGGAGACTGGCACCCTGACCGCGAGCCCGGTTGTCGGGCACGGGGGTGACCGAAATTCAGCCAGAGTCGGAGCTCGGTGTCAACTAGGAGGGAGGACGAGGAAGAGGGCCTGGGCGCTGCCGGAGCCGGCGAGGGGTGTCGGGGACCTCGCCGCCTGCTGTCCCCCCCCCTAGGCCGAGGGCGCCTGCGGCACAGGGACACCTGGGCTGGGGCTCAGGTGTCAGGAAATGTAGTGACAAGGTTCACCGCGTGCGGCAGCAGGGCTGGATAATCGGGTTGACCCAGCAGGTGCCGAAAACCAGCTGCTGATGAGCTAGCTGCCTGCCCTTTGGCCCTGGGAACTCTGAAGGCCTTCTGGCTGTCCCGTCCTCGTTCCCGATAGCTTCTGGTTCTTTGACTCACTCATCCATCACGCTCGGCTAAGGTGTCTTGTCAGGTTGGGGTCTGAGTTCGGGTGCTCCGTTCTCTGCCCGTTGTCAAATATCTCAGCGGGCTCAGGAAGAGGATTTTACACGCCATCTCCCCCCTCGCCCCCTTCACCCCCAGGCGGGCGCCAGGACACCCATGAGGGCCTTGAAAATTCCAGTGGAGTTGGTGGTTTCCTGAGACTGGAGCAGTACCGAGTGGATTGGAGTTTGCCTGGAGAGGAATCCCGTTGCCATGGTGACCCCTGTCTGTGGAATCCTAACTGCTCCCTCGGCTGCTGGGGATTCACTGGGTCTGCAGGCAGCGGGGAGGGCGTAGCCAGTGGGTGTGGCCAGATGATAACCCTGGGCCCAGCTGCTGTCCCGTCTTCCCCAACCCCTTGCCTTGGCCTAAGGATTCTCTTGTAAATGGCTCGGCCATAGTTCTCTTTTAACACACCTTTCTCTGTCAGCTCAGTGCCTTTGACATAGCTTCAGTCCACCTCCCAAGTTAGAACTTTCTTGAGGCCAACTCTGAAAGTTAACAGTTTGAAAGTCTTTCCCCTTCATGCATAATTTCCCTAATTTGGTCCGGAATGATAAAAGAGGAGGCACATTTGTAGGTCACCAGTAAGAGTCCGAGTTTGCCTTAGGTGCAGTGGACTGGGGACAACTGAAGACTGCAGCTGAGTTTTGCAAGTCACTGCTGTCCCCTGTGGTTGTATCTGAAATCCTCCCTGGAGGGTGTAGGCCCTTGATGGTGTGTGTAGTCTCTGGCTGGGACTGCGCGTCCTAGGCCCTGCTGTGTGGCCTGCCATTACTAGCTTTCCTAGTCTGTCCTAATTGCCACTGGGGTCCTTAACACCAGTAGCAAACTGGAGAGAGGGGTGAGTTTCCTAAAATTGATTTTTGGTGTAAAATTTGGGGATTTTAAGAAGCACCTGATGTTTGCTGTAAAGTTATCCGAACCAGTTTCCGGACTCAGGTTAAGATCCCCGAGCCTTGCTTGCATCGCAGAATAGTCAGGTTCTTTGTAGCTGCCCTTCAGAATGGGTGGGGCGGCTATTACTATTTTTAATGTTGTTTATGCCACTGCAATTGTTCCTCGTGTGGTTAGAGAACTGAGATCTCTATTATTTCTTATCGAGAGTCCCAGTTTCCATTGTAATGTCTTTCAGCTTTCCCTCAGTTTCATCTTGCTGTAAACCCAGACTTCTGGGGCCTGAAAGACCTTTCATGTACTTGAAATTGGAATATATTTATATTTCATCATCAGGTGCTTTTGGAGTACGTTCACCCAGATAATTTTTTTTTTCCTGTTTTCTTTTAAAAATTCAATTTCACTTTACTTGAAAGGCAGAGAGGACTTGGAGAAAAAGGGAGGAAGATCTTATTTCGGCTTGTTCCCTCTCTGAAGGAGAGCAACAGCTGGGGCTGGGCCAGGCTCAGGCCAGGAGCTCACCACCCAGTCGCAGTCTCTTAATGGATGGCCGAGACCCACATGTCTGAATCCTCATTTCCCGCCTCCCGAGGCGTGCGTGAGTGAGAAACTGGCATCTGGAACTAGAACTCAAAAAGCAAGTCCCTGTGATGCGGGTGTAGGCATCCAAGTGGCCGAACAATTGCTTTTCTCTCTCCTTTTTCATATATGTATAGACACACCCCCATACATTTATTTATACATATGTGTGTGTGTGTGTGTGTGTATAGTTTCCTGTTATCCCAAATTTGGCGTATCTTCATTTCTCTGAGCTTCATTCTCCTTGGCCCAGATAACTTCCCCAGGAAGTGTAGAGCAGGAGACGAGACAGACCCAAGGCAAAGCTAGCCGGAGGCTTTTGCCAGGGGACCGGTGGCTCCCAGAAGCACCGGGAGACGGTCGTCCACTCATCTCATGCGGCGCTCCGTGCTCTGTAAGCGCGGTTGACTGTCCCGGGCTTGCAGCGTGAGAGAGAGCTTGCCTAGTATTTGAGGCATTGTTCTGCGGGTTTTGGGAAATATGAATTAAGAGATCTGATAGTGGCGAGGGCGGGAGGTGACTCAGTGCTAGGTGGTACCTCCAGGAGCACGGTGAGTAGCTGCTGGGGAATTTGGATCCTGGACTCGCTGCTTTTGAGCAAGGTCTGGGTGGTTAGAATGTGCCTGTGGTTTTATTTGAACTGCTTTGCTTAAAATAGCGCTTTTAATGCTGAGCCTGTGGTCCTCACAACGGTGTATTTACAAACAGAATAGTTAAGCTGGGAAAGTGTTTCCTTTTGTAAATATTTGTAGAATAACTGAGAGTCTTGAGGTCTCCTCTGAAGACACTGCAAACACGACAGCTGTTGGACCAGAGGAAACGTGCTGTCTTGACAAAATGTGGCGCCCCCCTTTCCCCCCCCAGAACCGGGAAGTAGTGAAGTGTGTGTGTGACTGCCGAGGGACCCTCTCTCGAACGCGGCCACCGGAATGTGATTCTCCTCCTGCCTGAGTCGTGCGTACCACTTAACTTTTGGGGTTGTGGTTTCTAACGTGATCATGAAGAAGACGTTAGCAGAAAGTCTGTCTTCACACTCACTGAGTCTGGTCCCGGTGGTTTGCTGGAGAGACGAGAGGCAGCCCATCTCGGTGCTGGCCAGGAGTTGGTCCTGAGGACGGGGCCGTGGGCAGTGCGTGGGTGGCTGAGCAGGCGACGGGGTACAGCTGGTCGGGTTGCACTGAGGGCGAGTGCACAGTGCCCTGTGTACATGGTGTTACTGAGACTGGCGGAGGCTGCTGCTAGAGACCAGATTCGAAGCGTGGGTCTAAGGTACCTGCCTCCCTTACTGCAGCCCAGCACCCTGAGATACACCTGAGAGGGGACAGATGAAGTGAGATTCAAGCTCATCTTGGTAACTTACATTCTGTAAGCAGATTCTGCAGAGGAAAAAAGGGCTTTTTTTTTTTTTTTTTTTCCTTTTTCTGGTATCCTTTCCAGGTGTTCCAGGACAGGGAACAGCATGTCTGAGATAAACGTAAAAATTCTAGGAGCGTAGCAGCTGTGTACCTACACGCCACCCTCCTGCGATTCATCCAGGCTTTCCACACGCACTCTCACCTTGGTGAGCTTGTTTTCCTAATCGAGGCTTCAGGGTGCCTGGTTTTCACACGTGTGACTCAGCAGCCAGGACTCCCCTCGGCTTCTCTGATTTCTGTGCGTTCAGATCCAGCACAGGTACCAGAGCTCGCAGGAAGTGTTCCCCGATTGGCCCCGCGTGTGTACCACCGTCATTACCCACCTGTCTCTCCCCTCCCGCCAGTGCCTCCCACGCCGGGCTATAGGTTAGGGCTTCTGCGTCCATGAATGCTCCAGTGACTGGAGGGAAAGTGCTGCCAGATGGGCTCTTACAGTGTGATTCTCTGGCCCAGAAAATGTTGCATTTGAGTATGTTAAGGCTAACACGTTAGAACAGCGTGATGGACTTGTTCATGAAGGACATCCATTGTAACACTAGAGGGGAATTCAATGAAGGAGGAGGAGAACCTTCTGGAAGGGCACGGGCAACCCCAGAACCTACAGAACTGTATCATAGAACAAAATAAGATATTTTTAAATGTTAAAAAAAAAACCCACAACAACTCTTAGAACAATTTTTCTGGCCTCTCTGTGTAAAGGGGCCAGTTATTTGAATAAAGGATGTGTGATAGACCATCTCTAAATATTTCATTTGTCCGGCCTTAGACCCTGGTTCTTAGATAAGTATTCACTAGTAGGATTCCTTATCTGATGAAAGACTAACCCGGAAAGGGCCAGAGAAACCTCCACTGAGAGTCTGGAGTGTTCCTAATCCCCCAGCTTCCATTCTCTGTTGTTGTAAGCATAAATTACAGAATCTCTGTGGGAAAACAAAATAATGAAAACTTGAACAACCATCAAACTTGTAACCAACACTTGGAAAGCTAGGTATAAGGGGCAAGTACTCCTTCCCTACGGAAGAGAGGCTGTTGTTTACTTTTACAGTACAAGAAATTTGATGTCAACTAAACAGTAACCGTAATTCACAACTGTCATTGTGAGTTAAATGTGGAAAACTAGAGAAGCAAATTCAATTTCCAATGTAGTTGATGTGATTTCCTGACATAGAATCA